TTTACATCATTAAATTAGACACTTTTATTGAATATTTCTAATTTTTACATTAAAAATACACCATTTTCATTCTTTTCTTCTTTTATCATCTCTTTGTGATTTATTATTTTTATATTCTTCTTCTACTTTATTTTTATTCTTTTATATATTTATATTCTTTTTATATTATTTGCTTTTTTGTTGTTTTTATATTTCTTTCTTCTATTATTTATCAATTTTATATTCATTTATTCATTCTTTTTATTTCTTTTTTATTAATTCTTGAGTATTGTATATTTCTTTAATATTTCATTTATATATTATCAAAATATATGTTTTATTGAATTTGTGTTGAATAAAATATTGAATAATTCAATATTTTCATTCTTAATTATTCATTATTTATTCTGAAATGTTGTGTATATTTATTATATTAAATGAATATGATGAATAAATATCAATATTATTGTTTATTTGATTTTAAAGAAAATAATAAATAAAATAATGAAGACAATGAAATAATAATGAAATAGAATAATCTAATATTGAACAAATCAAATAAAGAATATATTGAATATATCATTATTGTTACTTTATTATTTGTTATTTCAATTATTAAATATTCATAAATTATTATTCATGAATATTTAATTGATTGATATTTTACAATTTCATTTTCATTTTATTTAATAAATGAAATATAAATGAATGAATGAATAATAATGTAATATATGAAATAATAAAAAGAAAAGAAAGATAAATAATAAAGAAATATGATGTATTTAATATATAATATAATTTATTATCAAATATAATAATATCAAATGATGAATTATTTTTATTTCAAAATATTTTGCATCAATAAAATATGTTGCTAAATATTTTGCATCATTAATTTTTGCATCATTAAATTTTGCACTTTTTTTATTTGTTTCAATAAAATTTGCATCCTTTATTTTTTTTCATTCTTTTCTTCTTTTAATATCTCTTTTCTTTTATTACACCTTATCTTCTTTATTTTTATATTCTCTCCTTTCTACTTTTATTCTTTCTTCATCATATCAAACTTCTTACTTTCTTTTTATTCTTTTATATCATTCATTCTCTTCTTTTTCAATTATTTGCTTTTTTTCGTTGCCGGAATAATCCACAATGAAATTAAAGAAATAATAAGTTACATATTGAAATGAATGAGAAAAAATCAGGAATGGTATTAAAAAAGTATTAAAGAAATACCAAACGGAATGCAAAACATCCCCGTAGTTGAAGGTGATGACTTGTATAAATATTTAGGAATATGGCAGTCCGATGAAATTGATGATACCTTCAATTGTAAATCCATCAAAGAAAAAATGAATCAGAAGATGGAAGAAATAAACAGTGATGAAAGTAGTAATAGAAGATATATTACTAGAATAAACACGGAAATAATCAATATCTTCAGATATTCAGCATCAGTTGTAAATTGGAAAATCACTGACCTAGATAAAATTGATTTGGAGATAAGAAAATATTTAAGAAAGGCAAAATACATTGGTGAAACTCCAAAGATAGATTGTATGTCACTCTAGAAGAAATGGGTGAAGGATTAATAAATATAAGGGACGAATATGTTATTGAATTAGTTAGAACAATAATGTATTATTGTACCAGAGAAAATGAAATAGGAAATAACATATTAGATAGATGGTATAGTAAGAAATGAATATGGAATAGAATTAAAAACATTAATTCATAAAATCCCAGAAACAAAAATAGAAGAAATAATAAATGAAGGGATAGAAAAGAAAAAAGAAAAAGAAGTAGTAGAAATAAAGAAATTATTGACAAATACATCAAAAAATGGAAGTGTCATCAAATTAATGGATATTTTAGAAGATGGTTTGAGTCAAAAGGAGTAGATAAATATACTACAGTGAAAGCATTGAAGTCAATCAATATTAAAAAGAATGCATTCCTACAATTAACTAAAATGCAAGATGGAGCAATATTTTGTGTGTATAGAAAATCAAAAATAATGAAAAATGAAAGATTGAAATACTCAACACTTTGTAAAGACAAGATAGCAACAGTAGAACACATTCTACTATCTTGTATTTATCATAATAAATCACAAATGGAAAAACATGACAATATTGGCATTATAATATTGATTAATAAGAAAATATACAGGAAATAATCAATATAAAAAACTCCCATATGAAACAGTGTTCAATATAAAGACATCACAATGATATTGAACAAACAAATAATGCCTAAAAGTGATGGACAATATAATAAAAGACCAGACATATATATGTATTAGATAAAAAGAATAAAAATAATCTATTATTTGATATGACTATTGTTGAATATCACAATATTAATTGAGTGTAAATGAAGAAAAGAAATAAGTATAAAGAATTAAAGAATAGGCTAATGAAAATAGAAAAATTAAAAGATGTCAAAATAAATCCAGTAGTAATATCAATTAATGGATTAATAAATAAAGAAAGTAATAAATTAATTAAAGAAATAAAAATTGAAATTGACATCGAGAAAGAAATTAAAAACCTTGTAATACAAAACATAATAGAAGTCATGGAATACTGCTTCTATCACAACCAAACATACTCCGTAAAGCTAATAGAAGAAAAAGACGAAGGGACGGGATTAGTCTCCCCTAAGCCAGGAATAATAAAGAAACTAGTTCTAATAATACTTAATTAATTGATTGTTTCTTTATTTGTTTTTCTTCATTGTACCTTTTTATTTATTATTTCATCTCATCTCTCATTTATCTAGCATCAGCATAAAAGAAATTTAATATTGAACATCATCCATTATTTTTTACTAACACACATACATTATTTTTTAATTTTTACTTGTTTCAGTGTATCAATCATTTTTATAAAGTAAATATTATTCATACAACTGTCTCTTTTTTCTCTTTCTGTTTAGTTTCTTTATTCTTATATAATTTATTCTTATTCAAATTTATGTTTATATATTTTTGTGCAGACTTAAAAGAATAAGATTATAAATACCATCAACGAGTGCTGTATTTTATTTTTATTTTAACTAAATTATTAATGAAGAAACAATGACTCATTTAATTTTACATATAAATTGGTTTAAGTTTTATAATCTGGTTTAATGTTTTTGTTAACTCTGTATGTTACAAATTATTTTAATACCTACTACTTATCAATTTTCTGTTTAGTAATAAATATATATTTTACTAATACAATTATACAATTTATACAAGGATTAAAAACAAAGAATATAAAAAATAATCAACTATTATTAAATATCAGTGAAATATTAAAGGATGGGATAATATATGTATTATAATTAATCCATATAACAGAAAAGTTGTTTATTTATTGAATAAATAATATTATTCATAACTTATCCAAAGTTCTTCTAAATATATCAAAACAAATTTATATATTTTTAACAAGGATATTAACATAAATACATACAATGGTTTTTTATTCATATTAACAAATGATAATATATTTCAATATACTAAAAACGAAAAAGTTTAGTATTGTGATGAAATTACAATTATAGAAAATTAGTAAAATAATGAAGATATAATAATATGATATTTTCAATAAATGTTTAAGAGAAATAAAAAGATAAGTATATTGTAAAAATTAAAATGAAATAAGTTATGTTGTACTATTAGAAATTGAACAATAATACATCACAACTACAAGATAACCATATTTATTAAAAATATTCCAATCATAAACAAACAAGTTAAATTATATTTTAACAAGACCTTACCAGTCTTATTGGTTTTATTAAAATGGTTATAAATTAAATTATTATTAAACATATCTTTATCAAAGTTATAAAAATCTATAGAATTTTACAAAATAATTAAGAAATGATTAATGATATGATTTTTATTTAAACAACGTTATTCTAAAACAACTTAACTGTATAAAACATTAAAAGTAGATTTCTGCTATTTTCTGATATACAAACAAATAGTTTTGTAGAATCAAAATAAAAACAAAAATAATAAAATAAAAATCTTTAAAAAACAATAAAAAATGAGTGAAACACCCAACCAAACAAATAAGAAAAAAAGTTGGTTATGTGTATTTCCTGGATGCAAAGAATCTGTTAAAACTCATTATAATTGTTATTCACATGTATGGGATGGGCACTTGAGACATTTATCAAATTCACCTTTATTTAGTGAAGATAAAAATCAAGTATACAAAAAAATAAAAAATAAGTCTGAAATTAAGAAATTGTGTGAAGTGTATATGGTAGAAATTGATCCTAGTCTTGATATTCAACAACAATGTATTCATGCAAGAAACAAATTTTCTAATAAACAAACAAATACAACTATTAATTCTTTTAATTTTGACTCTAATAGTTTAGAACAAACATTAAATAACAATCAACAAGAAGTTCAAATTTGGCAATGTATTACTCAAAACTGTCCAGAAAACCAATTAAAAGATGTGCTACAACATGATGACTTTATTCGTATAGTTCAAATTAATGAAAATTTAAAACGCTTATATATAGCAGGAGAAGTATTAGCTGAAAATGGATTTTTACAAAGATCTGATGCTCGTGTAAAAGAACATATTGAACCTCTCAAAGGTTGTGTGGATAAAATTTTAAATTTAACAGGTAAGTCATTTAAATATATAGGAAAAGACGAAAAAAAGTTAGGTTTTATTGCACAAGAAGTTCAAGAAGTTTGTCCTGAATTAGTTCATGAAGATGAATTTGGATTATCTGTTGATGTTATTGGTATAATTCCTATTTTAGTTGAAGCATTAAAAGAAATTCATAAAGCAGCATCAGAAACAAAAAACAATAACTCTTCTAAACTTGAATCATTGTCAAAAGCAACAAATGATGCTTTAGAAATTGCAAAAAAGTTTGAAAATGAATTAAAAACAACACAACTATCACATGACAATTTATTTCAAGAATTTCCTACATATAACTTTTCAATGGGACCAGCAGTTATAACACTTTTTGCTGCATCAATACTTTCTTTAATATCTGGATATATTGTATATTCATTACCAAAATTACCAGGAATGTGGGTATATTGTTGGACAATTACTATTGTTATGTGGACAAGTTGTTGGAGACAACGAAATGAATTATCTGAAAGTATTCAAACAAAACAATTAGTATTATATTGGCATAGAGAAAATTCATTATCAACATATATTTTTATGTTCCTTGGAGTTTTAGCTTTAGGAATGAGTGTTATAATGGGAAATTCAATTATTACACTTTCAATTGTCTGTGTAGGATTATTTTTTATTTTGGGTATTGCAGGTATGTTATTAAATAAAAAATTCAAAATATCTTTCTCAATTATCTTTACAACCCTTATCCTTTTCTTTATTTGTGTTTGTATTATCATTGGAATTTTATTTATTATTCAACCTGATTATGCCTGTTCATTTAATGACTATGGTAATTCTTATCTCTTATCAGTTACTCTTAATGAAACAATACCAAAACAAGTCATTTCAGAATTACCTTGGAATTGTTGGTCAAGTTCTTTTGAATTTAGTAGTCAATTACCCCCAGGGTTTTATGGTGTTTCAAATTCTGATACATCATCTCCTTATATAGAAGGTACTCCAATTAAAAATTTCCCAACAACAACAATCAATGTTTATATTACCTGTGTTAATTTTGTTAAATTTTATTGTGCTTCTATTACTTTTCAGACTTGTTCAAATAGAACTTCTGAAATTGATTGTAAACAAAATAACTGTCAATGGAATTCTTCTCTTTTATATTGTCATTGAACAAGTTAGCTTTCACATATCTATCAATTTAATTAATTCTTTTGTGTTTTCTTTACTTCAAAGAAAATCCAATTCTGCCCCTTCTTGGAACACTTCGAATTTTGTCTTCACTTACTCTTGTTGCTTTCTTTGTTTTATCATTTATTCGTTTGATATCTTTTTCATATTTCTTTTTTTTCTTTGTAAACTCTTCTTGCTTTTGTGCTTTTTTCTCTTTATTTTCAATAATATTAATTACTTCTCTTCTCTTCTTTATCATATTTTCTACACTTATACTATTTCCATGAATTTGCTCAAAACAAATACCATAATCACATGCTGCCATTGAACTTTCTCTATCAGCTCCTTTCATTACATGAATCATTCTATTTATTATTTTTCTTGTTTTTTCAATTACTTCTCTCTCAATGTCATTCTTCTCAACATTACTTTCATGAATACTTTTTTCAAAATCTCCTTTAAGTCTTAGTACTTCAATATATTTCATCCAATTGGTAATATTAAATCCAGCAATTGAAACAACTTGTTCAATAATTTTTATGCCTTCATTAAATCTTTTAAATACTTGAAGCTCAATATCAACCCATTTCATTAATAATCCTAATATACTTTCCTCTTTAAATACATCAGAAATTCTTTGTATAGAAAATGAGATAATAACTGGTAATTCATTTTCAATTGACTTATCCCCATTTTTATATAGTTGAATCAAATATCCTATATACCAATCAGTCAAATTAAAATAATATTCAGCTTTTGAATACTCAATATTCATTCCTTCATAAAAAAGTGAGTAAATTGCTTCTTTAGGTGTTTGAGAACTAATTGTTTCTTCTTGTTCAATTCCATTTATGTCTATAGATTTCATGTTTTCAATTAATAATTGATATACCTCTTCTTCTTGTAAATTTTCATTGATTATATCTTCTTTTTCTTCACTTTCTTTTTTTTCTGACCTTTCATTAAATGACATTATCAATATCTTTTAATATGATAATTTTAAGTTTCTTTAAAAAATAAAAAAAAACTTCTATATCCTTTACTTAGACTTTAACAATACACGAATTTCATTCTAAAACCACCAATTTGAATCATAGCACGGTCAATAAGAGGACATTCTCCTTGTTCTTTAACATGTGCAACCCCATCAATATGTGTTCCATTTCTACCAATTGATAGTAATTGATAAACCCGTTGTTTAGGGTCATAATCAATTTGAGCATGGAGATGTGAAACTGTTTTTGAGTCAGTAAATGGTCTTAAATTGATAAATGTTCCATCTTCTTTAAATTCTTTTCCTTCTCTTCCAAGGAATAATGGTAATTTAGTATTTTCATTAATCTCAACAATTAATTTTTCATTAGCATCATCAACAACAATCTTTGCATTAGCTCTTTTTGTTTCTTTTGTTTCTTTACTTTTTTTGTCTTCATCTTTATATCCCCTAGGATTCTTTGAACTTATGTTATTAACTAGATAATAAATAATTTGTGTTTTAAGTCTAATAAATAGTAATTTTAACAAACCTTTTTCAAGCAAATCATTTTGGTCTAAACATGCTCTATATACTTCATTTTCCAATAGCTATTTTGATTAAGTACTTTTGTCTAAATGAATTAATGTCTACAAACAACTTCTAAATTTTGACGATTCAAGGATTTTTCCATTGAACCAATTTCTTTATCTAATTTTTTCATTTTCATCCATGTTGCATATTGTAAATAAATAGGTCCCATACAATCAACAATAGTAGCAAATGTTTCTTCAGAACTAGTCATTCTGTTTGATATTTAGTTCATTTCATCTTCTTTTTTAAAACAAAAATTTATAAAACAATATTTTTTATTGTGTTTTTAACCTAAAACATTATTTTTTATTCTTTTCCGTTATTGAAAACCCTTTTTCTTATTATCACTTCATCAAAATGTTAAAACCGATTGTTTAAATTCTCATTAGAATACACCACACAAGCTATCACTTATTTCTTAATTCTGAACTTGCATTGTTGGGTGAGTTTCAACTTTCCACCAGTTGGTTGTCCAAGTGGTTGTCCGCATTTTTGACAGACAATTTGTCTGTGAGCATGAGAGAAAGTAGTAGTAGTAGCTCCACATTTTGGACATTTAATTTCAAGGAAGTAACTGTTTGGGGTTGGGACTAATCTCTTCATCTTGTGAGCTTTAGCCTCAGAAGCAGCAGTTGGGTTCAACAAGTCAACTTCGATTAATGGCTATTAATTGTAAGTACTCTTATTATTGTCTTTAAACTGAATAACAATTAAGTAATAGTCTACTTTAATTACTTACTTTTTAAAAAAGATGTAAACAAACCATGTGGCAAGCTGAATAACATTTGTAAGTTCTTCAAGGGTTTTTAATTTTTTCTTTGAACTTAATTTTTTTAGTTTTTAATGACACACAATATCAAGTTAATACTTGTATTTTTTTCTCTTCTTGCAGTCTCTTTTGCTGCTATTGTTGGAATGGATGTAGGTACACAATTTACAAAAACTGCTTTTATTGGACCAAAGAAAGTAGATATTGTAGAAAATGAAGAGTCTAAAAGAAAAGATCCTACATTAGTTGGTCTTGACTTAAGTGGTAGAAGAGTTTTTGGTACAAAAGCTCAAAAATTAGCATTTAGTTCACCAAAAAGAATTTTTATGTATTCAAATAAATTAATTGGAAAATCATTCAATGATCCTTTTCTAGAAGTTTGTTTTTATTTACTCATTTGATTAGTTGTCATATCTCAATCATATTAAAAAAACTATGTGTTCTGACTTTTATAATCAAAACAAATGTTCTGATTTATTTTTCTGAATAAGATATTAACATTTCATCTTTTTTTTAATGATAGAATTATTTTTAATCAAAAAGGAGTAAATTTTAAACTAACTGTATAGTATCTTCAATCTTTCATTCCATCAGAAATAGTTCCACAAAATAATACTCGAATGTCTAGTCCTCCAGTATATCAAGTAGGTAATATTACATTGTCAGCAGAAGAAGTTACTGCTATGATGATTCAAAGACAATTGAAACATGTTAAAACACAATACCAAACAACTGTAACTGATGGAGTCTTAACTGTATCACCATCAAGTACACCAATTGAGAGATATGCATTAGTTCATGCAGCTAAATTAGCAAAACTTCAACCAATTGCATTAGTTAATTCACCAATGGCATTTGCTAGTTCATTAGCTGTTAATAGGGATTTATTTGAAGTACCAACAAATGTATTATTTATTGATATTGGAGCTACATCAGTAGATATTGGAGTATTTAATTTTAGTTCAGAGTCAAACACAACAGGAGCAATCAAAGCATTAGGATATTACACATCACCATATTTTGGAGGACATAATTTTGATAAAGTAATTGCTGATATTGTTTTCAAAAGAGTTCAAAACCAAGTAAATGTCTCTGATGAAAAAGGAGGATTATATAGACAAATTTTACAACAATCAGAAAAAGCAAAAATAGTTTTAAGTGTAAATAAAGAAACTAGTGTTAAAGTTATTTTACCAGGAGGAATTGATTGGTCAACACCAATTACTTTAAAAGAATTTGAAGAAGCAAGTGAAGAAGTAAGAAAGAGATTAGATAATATTCTTGAAGAAGCAATAGAATTTATTGGAATCAAAAAAGAAGATATAAATATGGTACAATTACTTGGAGGAGGAATGAGAGTTCCAATGGTATTAAAAACTATTACAGAATATTTTGGAGAAGAAAAAATTAATAGAAATGTAGATGCACAAGAAGGTGGAGCATTTGGAGCAGCATATTATGCATTAATGCAAGGACTTGGAAGAATGAAAAAGCAATATAAAATTAAAGATTTTGTACCAATTGATTGGTATATTAATTCACCATATCTTGATAAAGAATTTAAATTATTTAGTCATAAATGGAAAGTAGATTCAATGAGAACAGTTTCATTTAATAAAGTTAATAATACTAAAGAATTTAATTTTACAATTTCATATTCAATGATGGGAAGTAAAGATAAAGTTGCATATATGGTAGGTATTGGAAATCAATTTAATTTAAATCAAACATTAAATGAAAGGGGAATTGATATTAGTTTAACATTTAAATTAAATTCATATGGATTAGTTGATATTTCTAAAAGTGAAATGAAATACACTGCATGGACTAATTGTACTGAAAAGAAATATAAAGTTATTAATGTTACAGAAGAAGTAAATGAAACAGAAAATAATTCAACAGAAAATATACCAAAAACAGAAAAGGAAAGTATTAAAGAAGAAATTGAAATTGAAGAAGAAATTATTGAAAATGGTAAAGAACAAATAAATGAAGAAAACATTGAAATTAAAGAAGAAGAAATTAATAATAATGAAACAGAAAATCATAATGAAACAAAGAAAACAAAAATAACACCAAAAGTTGAATGGGAAGAACATATTTTTGAATGTGCTAAGAATGAAACAAGTAGATTTAATTTCTTTATATTATATCATCCATTAATTAGTTTTATGAGTAGAAATTATCAACGATCAAAAGAAATATTAAAATGGTTTGATGATATTGATGAATCATTTAAACAAATTGGTGAAATGATTAATAACTTTGAATCAACTTTATATGCATTAAAAAAAGAAGTTATTGAAAATGAAAGTCTTGAAAAAGAAAAGAAAGAAGAATTTTTAAAGAAAATAAATGAACAACAAGAATTTTTAGAATTTAATACTATTGATGATATTGAATTAGATGAATTCACTAAAAGAGCAGAAGTTATTAAATCTATTACTGAATTCCTTCATCCTGAACTATATGAAAAAGTTAAAGATAAACAACTTAATGAAACTGTAATAAACATGACTGAAGAAAATCTTGTCACTAATTCAGAAAATGGTACTGAACCAAAGACAGAACTTTAAATAATTCATAAAAAACTCTTGGTATTTCTTTTTTTTATGAACTAATTGTTTATTAAAGTTAAATTATAAAAAAACAAAATCTAAATAACAATTTTAAAAAGAAATATTAATAAAAAGAAAAACATCTTAAAAACAAACTTAAAAACAAAGAAGAAATGAGTGAAAAGCCTAACAGATTTAGCTTTAAAGGAAAGAGATTAAGCTTCCGTGAAAAGAAAAAAGAAGGCATAGAAAATGAGAAGAGGGCACAAACTGTGATAATGAAAATTGATGAAACAAAAGAAGAAAACCACGTAGGAATGAAAGAAATGAGTAAGTCACACAAAAAGAAAGAAAAAGAAGTTAATGACCAACTCCCCTCTAAAGCCAAAGAAAGGGTATCAAGAAGTAGTATATATAGAAAAAGCCTTGACTTAGAAAGAAAAAAAGAAGATGTTATTCGTATACAACAGCCTCAACCATCTCGTGACTGTTCACCACTTATGAGGCAAAATTCTACACCAGTAACTCCTATGAAAGCTTCATCAAATTTAGTAGTTAATGTTCCTAAAAGGAAGGAACAATTATATAAGAATAGAAGAATGTCTTGGAGGTCAAAGAATTTAAGTGAAGAAAAACGAGATATTTCATTAGTTGCAATGGATGAATATTCGCCAAATGTTTTATCAGATAAAGAATTAAAGGATATATTAAAAAATGAAGAGAAAAGGCAAAAATTAATAAGTTCAAGTGATTCAAAGAAAAAGTGTGAAATTGTATTAGACATTCAATGTTTAAGTTATCATGTAGTAACTACTCTCAAAGTTTGTATTATTAATATCATCATTTTTATATAAAAATAAAAAAAAGCTATTAATAAATAGGAACATTTACAAAATACAATTTCTCAAATTACTGAAAAGTATCTTAAAACAAATACAAAGGAAATTGTTAATATTTCTGATTTAATATTCAAAAGCCAAACAGGAAAGCCTCTGTCAAAAAACCTAACACTAAGAGGAGTATTAACATTAAATAGTACATGTATATTTGTTTGTTACAATAATAGACCATTTTCATTACCTCATATTTATCCAACTGATATCAGTATTACTAATCCTCGAGATGCCATTCCTCAAGTTGTGTTTAATCTATGTTGGTGGATTTATACCTATGGTTATTTAGTTGAAGGAATTTTTAGAGTTTCTGGAAATAGTGATTTCACAAAGAAAAAAGCAGAAAAGTGTGTTATGTGTGATACTTCCTTTTTATTTCAAATGCACAGAAGAGCAAGTGATGTTCATAATGTTGTAGGGACATTAAAGACATATTTAAGAGAATATACAGATGGATTAATAGATTATTCTGAGGTAAAAGATGTTTCAGCTCATTCATCAAAGTCAGTGGAATTTGCGACTGAGGTCTTACATAAAACACCTAGAGAACATGTCTTATGCATTTGTATATTATATGGATTAATCAATAGACTAATCAAATATAATTCTATTCATATGATGACATTAAAGAATTTTGCAATGATTTTAGGACCATTGGTTATACACCCATTACCAGGAACAAATGCAGTGAACACAACTTGCAATCAAATTGACTTTAGTAGTATAATTATTAATAATTACGATTGTTTAATGAAGCAATTGGGGGTGTCTAATCCATTTGAAGAGTTGCCTGATAGAGATGATATTCAAAAATTTGATAAAAGTGCTGTTGATAAATCTCTTAAAACCATTCGTTCTATGTCAATGGAAACACCTGCGGAATGTGAAAAATTAAGAAAATTGATGGAAAGTCCTGATGTTGTTCAATACATTCAAACTTTAGATCCATCTTTGCTGATTGATGTAATATCAATCATCATCGATTGTTTGGATTTTTAATTGTAGTGTAATTGTTGTCAATAATAATTCTTTAAAAAAACTGTTTTACACTTTTATTTTCAATGAACAATACAAGTAGTTGATTCTTTTATAAAAAGCAAATTGTTTAAGTATAGTGTATGTCAAAAAATAAAAAATAGATTATTAAGTATTAATAGAATTGTCATTTATTCATTACTTAATAGATGTTATTCATATCATATATACATCATTAAATTGAGTAATTCATTTCTTTGATTAATTATTTAATTATTCTTCTTGTTTTGTGAATAATTCTTTTTATTTTATTTCTTTCTTCTATTTATTTATTTCATCTGTTTATTTATTTTTTTTTATTTTATTTTTAAAGAATATCTTTCTTTATTTCTTATTTTATGTTGAATGAATACTTAATTAATTGCTTATTATTATATCTAATTTCTTTTAGTATTAACTTCTTTTATTTCATTTTCTTTTCTTATTATTCTTTCATATTATCTTATTTCATTCTTTGTATTATTAATTAATACATTTTTTATTCAATTACATCATCATAACCAAATATCAATTGATAAAATTATTATTTGATTTTGTATTATTGTTTGTATATGTTTCTGATTTTCATTCTTCATTTAATTACGTTTGAATAAAAAATAAACACTTCAAGAATGTTTATTAAAAAATATATTCTACTTAATTATTTCACGTTTTATTTAACCTCAACAACACTAATTATCACAATCACCTTTTATTTCTCGTCTAGAAAATTCATTCTCCTTATAGAATGGTTTACAACACAAATCGGAGTCATCAACATCATATTGAACTTGGAATGGAGATTCTTCTAATGGACGATTAAATTCTTCTTGGTTTTCAACGTTGTATTGAACAAACTTATGTTCTTTCAATTCAAATAAAGCTTTTTTCAAGTAAAAGTGATGAATTAGCATATTCCAAACTTTAGATGTGACTAATGTTGGGATGTTACCAATAATAATTAATCCACGTTTAGCTCTTGTTAATGCAACATTTAGTCTTTTATAATCATTCACAAATCCAACACCAAGAGTTTGGTTTGACCTAACACAAGAAAAAATAATATATTCTTTTTCATTTCCTTGAAATCCATCAATATTAGCAACTTTAATCTTTGTAGAAACATATTGAGAAATAAGTTCTTGTTGAGCTTGATATGGTGAAATAATTCCTATTTCATTTTCTTCAATATCGTTATTCAACAATTTCTCAACAACCTCTTGTATTATTTGAACTTCTCCTGCATTATTATAACTTGTTCCACTACTTCCATAATGCTCTGTTCCATCACAGTTAATAAACATTATAGGATTTGTGTAGTCTGGGAAGAAGTTAATAATCCTATTATCAAATCTATCATCAATACTCACTCCATTCTCTAATTTAGAAGAATAAAACATTTTATTTGAGAATTCTGAAATTGCTGGATGCATTCTGTATTGTGTTTTTAACATTGTTCTTTTGATTTGTGTATTTGCCATAAATCGTTCAAACATTGATTTTTGGAATCCTGCTTCTCTAGCTTCAGTTGAAAGACATGTTGGTTGTAATTGTTGAATATCTCCAATTAACACAGTTTTTCTAACATTAATAATTCCAGCCAATGTCTCTGGTTCAAGAGACTGAGCAGCTTCATCAACAATAGATGCAAAAAATTTTTGTTTTAGTAATGTTGAACGAGTACAAATAGTGAGTGTAGAACAAACACATTCTGTTCCAGATAATATGTCATCAAAATATGTTGAGGTGAATTTATTAATATATTCATTTTCTTCTAATGTTATTCTTTGAGAAACTCTATCAAAAATTTTTTGTATCTTTGGATTAGTTTGTTTGACAAATTTTTCAAATGTTTCATATGCCATCTGATATATTGGTGTTGATAGATATGTTTCATAACATTGTTGAACTTCTCTATTTTCATCTTCTGTTGGATATTGTCCATACTTTTTCTTTAGTAATTCTCTTATATTGACTATTTTTGATTCTTCTAATTCATCATCAGATTCATCATTTGAAACATCATCAAATTCAACACCAAATTCAACATTATCACCTAAACCATTACCTGTTTTTTTATTTTTTATTTGTTTCTTTATTCTTTGTACTAAAACTGAGTTAATAATAATTTGACCAGATTGTGTTATTGCCACTTCATTAATTCCTTTTTTCTCTGTAAATTCTATTGCTTTTTTTAATAATGAATTTTCTCTTATTTTATCACTACAATTTTCAAACTGTTCATCTGCAACCACTCTAACTGTTGGAACACCTTTTTCAATAAGTTTTGAGCAAATCACATCAACAGCATTATTGCTTGATGCACAAACTAATAATTTTTTTTCACCTCGATTTATATTATAAAATCTATATTTGTTATAAATCAAGTATTGTGCAATTGATACAGCAACTGTAGTTTTACCAGTTCCAGGTGGTCCTATTACAAGTGAAATATCTTCGTTTAACGCATTATAAATTGCTTTCCTTTGATAATCGTTCAAATTAGATAAATTAGGAATATTGTATTTCTCTGCTGACATTTCTTCATAAGTTATTATTTCTTTTGTTTTTGTTGATTGTTTTTTGTGACAACACAATATTTTTGAATAATATTCATCAATTTCTCGTGATTGTAATACATCTAATGTTCTAGTGAATGGATTTCCTTTATCATTAGTAAGAAAATATATCCTAAATAACGATGTGTTTTTCACTATTTCTTCATTGTATTTCCATTTTTCCTCATTTGTTGGATACTTCATGGTAGTTGTACCTGTCTTATAATCTGTAGATTCTATTCCAAAAAGAAAATCTTGTAATCTAACAACAACTGTTTTACCTCTACTTGATGTAATATTTCCTCCAAACACACATTTTGATGACTTGAAAATTAGAGATGGAAATAACTTAGTTTCTGTTGAATTTGTATCATTAACCATTCCTTTTAATCCACCACAACTAATAATCACTTCATCTTCTAACTGAAGACCTCCAATAGCTTTAGGAAGGTTAATTTCAACAGTTGTAAATCCAGGTTGCTTGTTAATAAATTTAATACGTTGTTTTTCTTGTCTTAATTCAACTTCAACTACACTACGTTCTTCTTTCTTTTCAATTCTAGAGAGATATAAGTAAGTCTGAACATAATCATCAAGTGTTGGATATTCATTTTTAACTCTTTTTTCTGTTTTTTCTTTTGGGAATTGAGCCTCGATCTTGTCAACTAAGTCTTGTTTAACACAAGAAACAGATTGACCAACATCATAGTTATCTATTATAACAGCACCTTCATTAACAATATTCTTACTATATGATTGTTTGTTTATTTTACTCTGACTTTTTAAACAATGAGAACATAAGAAATCTTTTGAATTGTATTTATAATGAAGATTGTATATATTTGTTTCTTCACATTTAGAACATTTTAGTATTACTCCGTTAAAAGAGACACTAAAATGAGAATTGACTCTCATATGATGAAGGAGTTGGCACACTCCTGCATTCATAATTTTGCCATTACAAAAATGTTTTCCACATTGACACTGAACAATTCCAGTAGTTTCTCCACAATATTCACATTGTTTTTCTTCCATTGATATGTTTTAATGTATTAAGATTGTGTTTATATATCAGATAATTTTTTGCATCATTCTATTAAAATAACTGTATTATTTACATCATACCTATTTTTATTTAAGAAAAGTATTTTATTAATATTTGGAATATTGTATATAGTTTCTATTATCCTGTCACAATTAATAAGAATAATATTGGTATAATTTTTAAATTCAGAGTTACTATTTAAGAATAGAAATGAAAAATTTTGAATTTCTTATGTTATTTTTTACATTATTATTTAGTTTATTAAATATCGCAAATAATGTCTCACCAAAATCTATTTGTTAACTTTGTGAAACAAAGAAACAATAACTTATTCTTTTTTAAGAACAACAGAGTAAAAAGTATTTCTTATAATTATTTTTATAATTAATTTCAAATTAAAAAATTTTATATTAATAAGAGAATTAAATCACAACATTTCCAAATAAAAACAATTATTTATAAAATGTTTATTAGACTTAATAATTTGATTTTATAATTATTTCAAATTTACTCCATTTATCAAGTACATTCAAATTCTAAGACACATTTATTTTTAATATATTCATAATATATTATTCATATCTTAACACTTTCTCTTATACTATAATATTTTAAATTAGTAATGGTTGTTTGTTTCATATTTGTATTATGTTTTTATTGTTTAATTTGATTGTATTTCAATACATTTATTATGCAATTTATTTGAAGAAGGAATTTTTGCTGTAGGTGGAAGAGAAGGGAAAGTGTTTATTGTCAGTGGAGAAAAAGACAACTTCAAAACACATTTAATTGAAGTTTGTAAAGAAAAGATTACTGGATTATGTTATGTTAAAGAAAATATAATTGTTGGAACACCATCTGGTCAAATGTATAGCATTAACACAAAAACATATGAAAGAGATTATGGTCAATTTGTCAGTAAACCAATTACTGCAATGAAAGGAATTAATGATAAAATAATTCTTGGATTTGAAGATGGGTCTATTGATATAATCTCACTTAACACAAAGACAATTCATTTTAATAAAAGCGCCAATGGAAAAATAAGGAATTGTTGTCCATCTAAAGTTATATCAATTAGTGGTATTGAGAGAGACAAAGATATGAAAGTAGTAGCATCAGATGATATTGGAACAATTATTGTTGTTTCTATTTAATTTAGTTTCTTTTTAAGAATCATATTTAACATAAATAAGAAATACAATTTAACTAATGAATTATAAAAAGAATAAAAAGAAAATAATAAATGCAAACACCACAATACCAAATTGTGAGTATTGATAGAGATTATTCAAAAGGACTTACACCACGATTCTTTACAAGATTACCACCCCAATTGATAGGAATAATTGAAAAGAATGAATTTGAAACAATAATAACACAAGTAAATCAATATTTTATTGAAGCAGAAAATATTACATGGAAAACAATTATTGAAGAAAGTTGTTCATGTCTAAGTTGTGGATTAACAAATTGTTGTTTTAAAAACCAATATCATAGAAAAATGATTGAATTACAAGAATATTTAATACAATTAAATCGAAAATTCCCATCATTACAATTTATTCATCCAATTAACAATGGGTTTTTATGTTTTGAAATTAGTATCTTTTCTTCACAAGAATAAAATTAATTTAAAATAATAATCAATCAATTAACTCATTTATTCTTCTTCATC